TTGATTAAAAATTGTTCTTTCTGTCTTTCTTGTTCACATGAGAAATATATCACCAACATGGGGAAATTATTTGTTAAAACATTTAAAAAAATAATCTTCTAGAAATAATGTTGTCTGCTTAACTCTGTTGTCGCATACCTTTAACAAAAATATAACATAAGGGTGTTTTTATTGTTGGATTAACTTAAACCGCCAAACATTTACACAAAATTTTACACAGCTTCTTATCATTACAAATAACACCATAATAATAAAGACAAAATTAAAATGTCACGGTCCAACGTCGGATTTTTGGTGTGGGATCTGGCAACCCTCGATACCGGAAGTGCTCATTCTCGGAAAGCTGCGCGGGAAAGGCGTCTGTTTGGGTGAAGGCGGGAGAGATACACGGACGGAGCAACTGTTGAACAATTGTTACGACTTTTGCCATTTCAGTTGTCGAGGTAACTGGTAAGTTTTGAGTTATACGCATTGTGACTTCTTCATCTGTTATTGATTAACATTACGAGCTTTTATATTTAATTTTCACCAAGAACAGCGTTAGGCGAGTTGGTCCGTATTACGCTGTAATATTCGTTTATTATCCAAGGTGATAGTTCTTTGTTCTGCATTAATGCTAACGTTACTGTTTCACGGTTTACGAGAACGCTTATTAGTAGTTTTTAATAGTTTATGTCCATGAATTATGTAATTATAAGCCTAAAATGTGTGTGGTGTTACACACATATATATATATATATATATATATATACACTCAAAGTTTTTAAAGGATTTCTTCTTTTGACAGTTTCAGTTTGTGTTTTTCTTATTTTTTTTTTCTCTTAAATTCCTCTTGCCTTCATTTTTATGCATGATTCTAATATCTGTGTCTCTTTATATCCTTGTCCATCAGGTGTCAGGATGAAGGTGGTAACCTGTGAGATTGCCTGGCATAATAAGGAGCCGGTGTACAGTATGGATTTCCAGCAGAGTGGTGAGGGAAAGACACAGCGGCTAGCTACAGCTGGGGTGGACACCACAGTACGGGTAAGAGAGAGCCTCTGCCTTCACTTTATACATCATAGGTGTCTCTTAAGTTAATACTGATGACACATTACAGATTGTAAGATGAGAGGTGTTCTCTTTCAGATGTGGCGTGTGGATAAAGGGCCTGATGGGAAGGCGGTCGTTGAGTTTTTGTCTAACTTGGCACGACACACTAAAGCAGTGAACGTAGTGCGGTTCTCACCCACAGCTGAGATCTTGGCTTCTGGAGGGGATGGTGAGTTTAAAGTCTGATCATTACCTGGGTAAGTTGGTTGAAATTGATTCTAGCGCCTTTAAATGGTTTAATTAAATGTCCGTTTCTCAAGATGCTGCAATCTTGCTTTGGAAACTGAATGATAATAAGGAGCCTGAACAAACCCCGACTTTTCAGGAGAATGAAGATGATCAACTCAATAAAGAGAGCTGGAGTGTGGTCAAGACACTGAGGTCTGATTTTAGTTTTTGTTTTTTGTTTTCTTAAAATGTCCCCCTTGCCTGTCTTTTACATTAAAAATGCATGAAATTAAAATTCACATTATCTGTTATATAAATGAATGTTATTATTCTTGTGCACAATGCATCCATATATGTATATTATTATTATTTTTTTTTTTTTTGAGATTTGTAATTTTCAGTCAAAATGTCATAAATCAGTCTTTCGGTGAAATAACAGACTTCTCTCTGTTGATGTATGCTGGATTTTTTTTTTCAGTTATATAAACCCAACCATTTTCTTACAATCGACTGCAAGCTCACATTCAGATGATCTGCCTCCATCCAATCAACCAATAAAACCAAATCCCCATCCTTTTTTTTTTTTCTTTTATGATAAACCATTTCACTCGGACATGTATAACAATATGAAAAAAAATATCTGCCACTTCTTCCATTTCATTGCAACTTTAAGTTATTTACTTTTGAAACATATCTTGAAAGCTCATATTGTTGTCTGTGTTTGTTAGGGGACATATTGAGGATGTATATGATATCTCATGGACCAGCGATGGGAACTTCATGGTTTCGGGCTCTGTGGACAACACTGCCATCATGTGGGATGTCAACAAGGGTATGAGACCTGAAGCAGGACTATGGAATTGCATGCATATTTTTGCTTTTATAGAAGTGATGATACGCGTTTTAAAATATGACAGTGAATAGGTTTTTAGTAAGCAGAACTTTATGAAATGTTTTGTGGTTATTGAATTCAGTGCCTGGTTTGTTTGCAGGTCAAAAGATGTGCATTTTTAATGATCATAAGAGTTATGTGCAAGGAGTAGCATGGGACCCACTTGGACAGTATATCAGCACATTAAGCTGTGACAGGTTAGTATGTTGAATTTAATGGCTTAATTTCAAGCCATTACAGATTATCATAGACAAGAGTTTTATAATGAGAATTTTAGAGTAAACCTTTTTTACATGGTTTTGCATACTGACAGCATGTAAAATCTGTGTGTTTTAGGGTTATGCGTGTGTACAGTGCTCACAACAGGAAAAAAGCTTACAGTGTGAGTAAGATGACCTCAGCCGCAGCTGCAGACGGAGAGGTGAGTGTCACTGGGATCTTCAGCCGGCATTTATTTTTCAATAAAGCTGATATTTATTAAGAGATTGTCCACATCAGTCAATAAGTGTTTTTTTTTTTTATTGTTGTGATTTACTTACTTTTGTGCAGGTGAAGAACTACAGAATGTTCCATGATGACAGCATGAGATCTTTCTTCAGACGTCTCGCATTCACACCTGATGGGTCATTCCTCCTTGCTCCAGGTGCACTTTTTTTTTTTTTTCCGTTTTTAAACTTTTACATGTGTGTGTATACCCCGTATGTTTATGTAATGTATGGGTGAGTAGTTATAACAAACTTTTTAATATGCTTTGTTAGAACTATTCGACGTATTTACAGTCTGTATTTTTGGCCTGGTGTCCATGTACATTCCTTGTGTAGTTAATATGGAATTTATTTACTCATTTATTTTATTTTTAGCCGGGTGTGTCGAGGCTGGAGAGAATGTCACAAACACAACATACGTATTCTCCAGAAAAAGCTTTAAAAGGTTTGTTTTATTGGATGGCTTTTATTTCCCTCTAAAACTTGATCTTTATGTTTGTGTGTGTATGTTCACTTGTAAAGCTATGCATTAATCACATATACACCATTCAAATGACGGATGATTGGAGTCAATATGTTTAATATATTTTACACTTGGGGGGGGGGGGCATATTTTTATTCAGCAAGTATGCATTAAATTGATTAAAAGTGGCAGTAAAGACATTTGCGTTGGAAAAGATTTCTAGTTCAAATAAATGCTTGTGTTTTGAACATTATTGTTCTTTAGTGAGTCCTGAAAACATGTACCACGGTTTCCACAATATATTAATCAGCACAACTGTTTTCAACATTGAGCACCAAATCAGTATATTAGAAAAATATTTGGAGGGTCATGACACGCTGAAGACTTGAGTAATGGCTACGGAAAATTCAGCTTTGCTATCAATGGAATAAATTGCATTTTTAAATATTCAAATAGAAAATAGTTATTTAAAATTGTAGTAATATCTCACAATATTGTGTTTTATTCAAATAGATACATCCTTGCTGAACATAAGATTTCAAAAACATTTTCAAAATCTTACCGAACCATAAAATGTTGTGACTCATGTATTTTTGGTACATGAAACTGGTTTTCAATACCAAGCCCGACTGCTGACACAGTCATGTCTTGACACAGTCTTGATTTGTGTTACCATGTTTAGTGTTTGACGTGTGTTTGTGTGTCAGGCCCATTGCTCATCTGCCGTGTCCATCTAAAGCGACACTGGCTGTGCGCTGCAGCCCAGTGTACTATGAGCTGAGGACGAAAACAGCTGAAGGTACACGCAATACCCTTCCCAAACTGTTGTTCTACTTATGTCACATGCGTGCAATGGAAAGACAGTACTGTCCTTTTATGTTTCACAGGTGGTTCACTGAAGCCAGTGTCAAACACGTTGAATTTGCCATATCGGCTGGTGTTCGCGGTTGCATCGGAAGACTCAATCTTCTTTTATGACACACAACAGGCACTGCCGTTTGGATACGTGTCCAACATCCACTACCACACGCTGAGTGATCTCAGCTGGTAAGTTGCACAGACTTGTTGGTGTTTTGGGCCTGTGTTGTTTTTACATGACTTAAGTTGTGCTTGTTCTACGTCAGGGGTGCCCAACCCTGCTCCTGGCGATCGACTGTCCTGCAAAGTTCAGCTCCAACCCTAATCAAACACACCTGAAGCAACTAATTAGGGTCTTCAGGATCACTTAAAAATTAAAGGCAGGTGTCTTTGATTAGAGTTGGAGCTAAACTTTGCAGGACAGTCGATCGCCAGGAGCAGGGTTGGGCACCCCTGTTCTACATGATAGCAGGAGGAAGATGCTTCTGTCCACAAAATGTGTCCCAGTGTAGGTGCATGTGGTAGCCTGAAATTACCAGGCATATTTGGAGTTACAAAAATGGGAAAATAAACTGAATCTTTAGAAATGCTTTGTTCATAAACCTGTCAGTAATAAAAACATGTAATTTTATTAAATGTTATATTTTTGTACATGTAAATTTTATTTTATTTTGAAATCTCGTTATGAAAAAACTTGTTCTCTAATACACATTGGCCACAATTAATGGCACACTTTTATTCAATACTTTTAACCTCAATTTGCTAAGATAACAACTCTGAGTCTTCTCCTATAATGTCTGATGAGTTTGGAGAACACCTGACAAGAGATCAGAGACCACTCCTCTATATAGAATCTCTGAAATGACCTTGGCAGAACCTTAAAGGGGTCCTAGTATACCTTTTTGCGAAGTCTTGATTTGTTTTTTGGGGTGTACTAGAATAGGTTTTCATGCTTGATTGTTCCAAAAATGCATTATTTTTCATGTATTTTACATTATTGCAGCACCTCTCTTCCCAGTCTGGTTCGAACGCCCTGTTTAGTTCCTGTTTCATTGAAACCCCTCCTTCTGAAATACGAAATGTGCTCTGATTGGTTAGATGGCCTAGTGTGTTGTTTGAACTGCTAAGAGCGTGTTCCAGAAATGTCACGCCCCTTACCATAACTACGAGTTTCATCTGCTCAGCTGTAAATATTATCGATGGCATTCATTTTGACATACTGCTGTCCTCTGTAAAATGTGCAGCGCACAGATAAACTTGGAATTATAATGTTAAAAATATGTTTGTCCACCTTATAAAGGCCAAACAAAAACTCTTTTTTCTCCTTTGTCCTCTCTTGTGCAGCTCAACCAGGCCTCATCTTTTTTGTGTGTGTGTGTATTCTGTGGGGAGGAATTATTTAAATTAGTGACATTTTGGCTTCACACTATCTGGAAGAAGCACACTGTAGTCCAAACAACCTATTTGTTGTAGTTCTTGAAGTGTTTTCTGTTAAAGAGAATATCTCTCTTTAGAGTGGACATTGAGTAACATTTCAGATCTTTTTTTATTCTCAAATAGCAACAATACACACTTCTTAAGTTGAAAAGATGAGAAAGCATAATAGGACCCCTTTAATTTTTTGCCCCTTTTTTGTTTTTTGATGTTCGTTTTGAATCATTGTCCTGATGGAAAATCCAAACAAGGCTCATAAGATTTCTAGCAGTCAGTCAGTTTGTTTTTTTGTTTTTTTTTTATCTGTTGAATCCAGGACCTCCAGCAGAAAAATAGTCTCACAACATTGAAGATACAGCAGTATTTTTTAATTGTACACATGGGCTACTTTTTATCCCTGTGTGCAACTAACCCATTTTAAATGTGTTTGCTGGCAAAAAGCTAATTTTTTTAGTTTCATCTGACCATAGAACCCAGCCCAGTTAGAAGTTCCATTAGTCTCTGGCAACTGAATATTCTGGAGTTTGTTTTTGAATGAGCGCAGAGGATTTTTTTTAAACCCTCCCAAATAACTTGTGGTGATGTAGGTGGAGTTTGATTTATTTTATTTTATTTTATTTATTCGTTTTAGGCTTTCTGACCCCTAGACTCAACTGCACATCAGCCTGATTTGTTTTACTTGAATCCTGGCCATTGTTTCTGCTTTACTGGGAAAGGCAATGTAGGCATATGTAGCCAATGCAACCAAACCCTGACATTTCTTGTGAGTCACAGATGAGTACAGAATATGTTCTTTAATCTGTTGAGATGGTCTTTTATCTATGATGAAATGCATGGCAGTTGACCAGCCAGTGTTATTGGTCAAGTTATAGAAAATGCAGACATCAAGAGTCTAGAGTAATTTTGAGATGAACTATTATTGACTAACACATTTGCTGTTATGGATGTTTTTCCACAGGTCTCGTGATGGCTCCTTCTTGGCAGTGTCATCTACTGACGGCTACTGTTCCTTCGTGTCGTTTGAGGAAGGGGAGCTAGGCACCCCACTGAAAGAGCGACCTCCACTGGAGATGGTGACTCCATCCTCTACTAATGAGAAGAAAGGCAAGAGACTCTCCGCTAATGGCAGGACTGCTTCCCCGGTCCCTCGCCAGGCCAACACACCTGCTGCACAGGAAAAGGAGAAAGAGGGATCTGCTGGCCCCGCGTCCTCCAAGACCCCCAGCGTGTCTGGTCCAGAAGAGAAACGCACACCTCAAGCACTGAAAACCAAACCTCAGGCTAGAAGGATCACACTCAATACCCTGGAAGGCTGGGGCAAACCCAACACCCCCAAATCACCGGCAACTGCCCCCAGTACAGCCCCCAACACACCCAAATCTGCTCCCTCCACCCCTGGATCCAGCAGAGGACCCCTTACACCTCTTACAGCCCCTAGCACTCCCCTGGGACCCCTCAACTCCAAAAATACCACAACTCCAAAAGGACCAACTCCTCGGTAGGGCAGCACATCTGTGGTATGATCTGATGTAACATTGTTTTTTAACCATATGCTTGCATTCACTTTGGGGTCAGTATGATTTTTTTTTTTGTTGTTTAAAGGAAAGAATACTTCTATTCAGCTGAATATTCTATTCAGTGTTTGTGACACAACAAATTTGTGTCAGTAATTTTACAACTTTAACAGAATTTCTCAGTTTCTTGGTCTGTCATGGCAACCCATGCATGTATCCCTGAAATTATATAAATGTAGTGTTACAGCCTAATCCATGGCTTGAGCAGTAAAGATGATGTGCACAATGGATCAAGTATGTGCTTTTTTTCTTTCAGACGAATTTCATTGACTCCAGTTGTCTCCAAATCCCCCACTGCTTTTGTCACCCCATCTTCCACTGAGAAAGCCAAACATGGTTAGTAGACCCATGCTTTTAAGTTTTGCTTTTTATGTAAGTAAAAATAATTGTAATTTTTTTTTTTTTTAAGTTGTCGTTTTTCAATGCTTGTTTAAATATTGATAATTTTTTCTTTGTTTCAGAAAAGCACTAGTTTTTCCATCTCATTTTGAGTTGCCTAAAGACTGTATTTAACCTTATTTGTTCATATTTTGCTGTCATTACTTTGGTTACTTTTTGTGTAAGAAGCATGTAAATTAATTGTTGTTGTTTGTATATTTGTGCACACAGTCTTACCGGTCATTTATAAATATTTGTTCATCACAGAGAGACCATCTCCCCCCAGCGACCCAGCATGCAAACCTCCTGAATCCAAGAGGTCCAAGACTGATGTTACCAGTGGTTCTGCCCAGAGCAGTGAGCACAAAGTGGACACAGAACCCAGCGTCAAACCCCAAGAACCCTAAACACTGAATGTGGTTTTGTCTCTCTTTATTAGCAATCTCATCCTCAGAGTACACTCATAAACCAATAACTTAAACAACCTGATCCCATGGACATATGGAGTTGCATACTATGTTTCTGAAACTCATCTTCGCTTTCATTTTCAATGTTTGTCAATTTTCTATTTGAAGAGAAAAAATTACATGTAATTATTCTCTATAACCACCTACTCCCTCGTGACTGAAATTCCTTTTTTATCTTATGGACAGAAATATTTTACTTTTGTACCATCTGTTTGAATTTTCTTCATAAAGATTCTTAAGAATGGGGAGATTGCTTGAGACTGAGATCAGAAGCAGGTTATTGCTACACAAGCAGATTATTGCACTTATCTTGAAATATTGAGTGAGAAAACTCATATAAATTTCATACAAGTTAAAAGAACAGGTCAGGTTATTTAAACATAACTAAAATGAGCTTTAAGGCAAAATGACAGTAACTTGTTTTACACTTCCTAATTTTGTGTTTCCATTTAGAACCCATTTCAGAACTAATATAAATGGCACTCAATGCATTTAAAGCATTTTTTATAAAGTTTGAATCAAGATTTTTTTTCCCCCAAAGTTCACATTTATTATATCTTTTTGTTAAATATGGATGAACGGGGTGAGGGCAATATTAAAAGTAGCAGTCGGGATCTTCTGTGGCCACCAGCTGCTATAAATACTATAGTGCATCTTTTCCACATGGACTGCACCAGTTTTCCACCAAGGCAATTGCAAGTTCTTGAACATGGGAGGACACAAGATTACATGTGGTATTGCAAAGATGATCAGCTGTCTTAGGCATCTTGTGTTATGGACATTGCAGTTTTTTGCTCTGGCCACCTGCAGTTGTCATGTTCTCCTTACAGCAAAAGTATGGCATGTTCAGGGAGCCTGGGCATCTTTTGGTGCTTTTCAGAGTCAGTAGAAAGGTCTCTTAAGTATCTTAAGTTATTGTAACTCACCTTAATTGTCTGCTGCCTGTAAACCATAAAAGTGTCTAAAGAACTGTTCCACTGGTCCATGTGCAATAATTGTTTATGGTTCATTGAACAAGCATGTAAAACCTTGTTTAAACCGTTTCCAGTAATGTTCTGTATAGGTCCCCCTCGTGCTGCCAAAACAGGTCTGATGCATCAAGGCATTGACTCCACAAGACCTCTGAACATGTCCTGGGGTGTCTGGCACCAAGACATTAGTAGCAGATCCTTTAAGTCCTGAAAGTTGTGAGGTGGGGCCTTCATGGATAGAATTTGTTGGTCCAGCACGCCCTATAGACCAGGGGTGGCCAACGTCGGTCCTGGAGAGCCACAGTCCTGCAGAGTTTTCTTCCAACCTTGATAAAACTCACCTTCCTGTTGCTTTTAGTAACCCTTAGACCTTGATTAGCTTGTTCTGGTGTGTTTGATTAGGGTTGGAGCTGAGGTCTGCAGGACTGTGGCTCTCTAGGACCAACGTTGGCCACCCCTGCTAAAGATGCTAAATCGGATTGAGATCTGGGGGTTTTGGAAACCAAGCCTTGAATACTTTGATATGTTCCTCAAACCATTCCTGAACAATTTTTGCAGTGTGGTAGGGTGCATTATCCTAATGAAAGAGGCCACTGCCATCATGGAGCACCATTGCCATGAAGGGATGTACGTGGTCTACAACAATGTTTAGGTAGGTATTTGTCAAAGTTACATCTACATGAATGCCAAGAATCAAGGTTTCCGAGCAGAACATTGCGCATAACACTTCCTCTGCCAGCCTGCTGTCTTCTCATAATGCATCTTGTTGCCATCTCCTCCTGAGGTAAATGATACACATGCACCCAGCCATCCATCTGATCTAAATGAAAACATCATTCATCAGACTAGACAATCTTATTTCTTTGATCCATGGTCCAGTTCTGACACATGCCCATTGCAGGCACTTTCAGTGGTGGCACTGACATCTTTCATCATGGCCAGCATAAAGTTGTTCAGCAATTTGAACTACAATATACCTCATCTGTGTGTCTGGACAAGACTGGCTAGCCTTCGCTCCCCACATGCATCAAAGAGCCCATGACCCTGACGCCGTTACAGCTGTTGTTAGGTTCTAACCACTGCATACCAGAAACACAACCCACAAGAGCTGGCGTTTTGGATCCAGTCATGAACTCTCAGTTTGGACTCTCTCTTTTTAAAGATATTTCACCATAGTAACTGGATTTATTTTAATTTTCTTTGTTACACACTACATAGAAGAAACCAAAATCAAGTAACCACAATTTACACTTCACTAAACAACACCATTTCCCAAAATGTAACATACACTTGCAAATATTTAAGGGAAATAGGAAGTTTCAGCATATCATGCAGGGTAATTGGTTGAATAATGCAAAAGAGTTTTGTGTAAGGGAAGGATCGATGACAGTTCTGTTGCGGTAAATTAAATACGGACTTGTTTCTTTGTTTACCTGTGTCAATTACATATATGCAGCACTGAAGATGTCATTAAAATAACCGTATAACCATCAGACAAACAAACACAGGCAAAATACAATAATAGTGTCTACTGTGCTGTTTCACAATACAGTAACATAAATGTGAGAGATTGTTATTCAGACAATAAAACTACATTTGTTTCCTCTAAAATAATTCCAGATTGTGTTGTTTTTATAATAAAATGTTTATAATAAAAGGTACACAGTTCAGCACTGTGTTGAAACTACACGTTTATTTGAGCATTTTCCTCTTCATTCATTTGGCGAAATATACGAAAACGACAATAGTTTTGAACAACCATGCATACATTGCACAATGCATTAATAAATAATAACCTTAACTGTGACATAATCTATCGACACATTTATCGTGCAGACACACACGAGAATGTGAAGCTTCATATGTCTTATGAGGGGCCAAATTGAAAACGAGTCGAAGCGAAACAATATTTTCACACTGTTGTCCTTTTTTATATTGATAAACTTGACACGCTGACGTCAACAACCTATCTTCATGAAGGGAAAAAGTAGGGAAAACAGCAAAGTGAGTGACAGCTTCAAGGGCCAATGGCGTTGTCCGCAGTAGCTGTTCTTTAATCATTCGACCAATAGGCTTCGAGAAAGGGAGGGGGTGAGGCAATTGGGCGTCGAGGCGAGTTAGGTTGACGAATGGAAACCAACAGAGGACTACGAGTTAAATATTGGATTATTTGATCATCTGACTGGCTTTAACGTTACATGAACTGACTCGGAGCACGTTAAGGGGAACCCGCGGATGATACTGTTGATTTTGGAAGCCGCCGTTCCGTTTGGATGTGTTTCGGGAAGACCCCCGCGTAACGCGCATAGGTGGCGCGACAGATTAGCTGCGGCGTGCTGAGACCGAGTTCAAGAAATCACAAGTTGCACACGCGAGAGGAAGACCCTTCCGCGCGATTCGTACTGCTGGCCGCCGAGAAATTCGGGTGCTCGCATCTCCTATTATGACGTTGTTGACTCAAGTGCGGTTACATCTTATGAAAGAGGCCCTAAAGTACCTGGCGAAATAATAATTTAATATTAATGGATGGCAGCCACTGCATGTTTGACAGAGTGAGAGGATTCAAGACATTTGTCATTTTATTGATTTCTGTGTGATTGTGTGTAACGTTAGTTCAGTTTCCCAGGACAACCAGGCTATTGAAAAACTTACCGTCTATGCTTCGGTTTTTATTTTTATTTAGTTTTTTGGTCATAATTTGAATTATTAACAGTGGTCGGGATTGATTTATGACTTTTGATGGTGGAAGTTGCACCTCTGTCTTGAATTCAGTATCTCATGGAGTTGCTGTCTTTCACGTTTGATAGGATGTGATGAAAATATCCGGCACATCTTGAGCACCAAAGATGATGGACTTTATTGTATACTTAATACTTAAGCTAGTAGTCGAGATCATCTTCAAAACAGCAACCTGGATGTTTGAGACCTGTTAAATAAGTCTTATTTATTCATAATATTATTAATTACGCTGACTACTTAAATAACAATTTTGAGGGTTTGCTGTGCATGTCCTTTGAATGTTCAGCCGATGCTAAAACTTCTCTCAGAGCATCTCTGATTTCAGAAACGTCTCAATGTCGGTGGATGAAGCCAAGTTCAAAAGTTCTGCTTTTTACACATAGGAGGAACGATTCTAAGCAAACGGCACTGAAAGTAGACGTGTCTTGAAAAATAAATCTGTTAAAAAAATGGCAAGTGAATGCACGTGCAGTGCTCAGTATGACGCTGATGACACCTTTCGCACTTCTAAACTCTCTGCGGACGAGCAGCGTGAACGCGCGGGGTACGTGAACGGCGGCTGCGCGTCCGTCGCATCTTCTACCTTCTTCGAGGTCATCGGCGGCTCTCTTTACCGCAGAAAGTTGGAGAAGGGTTTCGTCCAGTACCGGGAGGTGCTGGCTGAAGATAAGCGACTCCAGTCCGTAGCCACCTTCCACGAGAAAGGACCTGGCAAGTCGCACCAAACCCTGGACGACACATACAAACTGGTGGCCGAGCACTATTGGTGGGAAGGTTCGTCATTTTGTCTTCTACTATTATTATTTATTTATTATTTATTTATTTAGTCATTTAGCAGACGCTTTTATCCAAAGCGACTTACAAATGAGGACAATAAAAGCAGTCAAAACTAACAAAAGAGCAACAATATATAAGTGCAGATGACAAGTCTCGGTTAGCCTAACACAGTACACGTAGCAAGGTGTATATATACATATATATACATATACATACACACACATATATATATATATACATATACACATACACATATATATATATATACATATATATATATACATATACATAGCATATATTATACACACACACACATATACACACACACACAAAGAAAAACAAGTAGATAGAATAGAAAAAATAGAAAGCTAGTGTTTGTTAGTTTTGTTGTTGTTTTTTTTAAATAAAAAATGAAACAAAAAAAGAAGATAAATATGGATAAAGTAGAATTAAAATAGAATAGAAAGTGCTAGAGTTAGAGGGTCAAATAAAGGTGGAACAGATGTGTTTTTAGTCGTTATTATTATTATTGTTTGTTATTTATTTTTACAACTGATAAATTGTTTAAATGTCTGTTTTGATTTAGTTTTAAATATGAACTTTGAATCAAATCATTTTAAAACAGAATGAATATTTACGATAATATGAATATCGATAATATGAATTATAATATTATCAGTAATTATTTATACCATTTATATTTGAGCTTAATAAGCATTTATGTATTTCTGAGATAGACACGTGACTATTGGCAATGCAACAAAGTTTATGCAAATGTGCAGTGCGACTACCAATGAGAGTGCAGACAGTGGTCTACCACCTGACACTTAAAATCCCACGGCAGAGACCTTTAGCTACTTAAATGTTGTCAGTGTGTGAACGTGGCATTAAACTTCAAATGGTATGTGTTTCTAAACTGACAGTGAATGAACAGGTAGGGGACTCTTCATTACTAAAACTGTAGTAAACTTGGAAGTTAATTCTGTTCTGTTGATATTTTTGTCCTGCTGACTGATGCTAATATGTCAATCACAAAGGCGTGTCATTTTCTGTTTATCCGTTTTACGTATTTACGTACGTATGTTTTACACAAGTTTAGTTTCTGTTCAGATGAGGTGAAGGTGTCACTTTTTAAAGCATATTGTACAACACTTTATACTGGTCATCTGTGGTTCAACTATAGAGCATCTAGTTTACAGAAGCTGCAAGTAGCTTATAATGATGCAATGAGAATTTTACTAAAGAGACCTAGATGGCATAGTGCAAGTGAAATGTTTGTGAGTGCAAGAGTAATCACTTTTAAAGCACTGAGAAATCTTATGTATAGATTTATCTGCGGGCTAAATGCTTCAAAAAATGAGATTATTGTGGGTCTATCAAATATA